ATTTCTTAGTAGTTTAGTAACTTTTGAGCTTTTATTATTTATTTTTTATTTTTTGTATATTATATATACATGGCAAAATTAAAATTAAATAAATGTTGAATATAATAAAACATGTTTTACAATTTCTGAAAACCAACCTAAAAGTATGCTAAGATTACTATTTAATATGTTTATGTAATAATAGTTACCTATACCTCCATATATCCATTATTATAATATAAATATAAATGAACTATAAATATATGAAATTTGTCTAACCAGAAATGCATTTAAACATAAATAAGGTAAATAACAATTTCAGTTCAGACAAATCTTAAAGCTTCAGTTTAACTAAATTGAGACTTTTACTTCCAAAACATATTCTAAAAAAAAAAAAATAATAATAATAAGAGAAAAAACCAATAAAAGTGACACAGTTTTGCGTGCCACAAAAAGTGAGAGCCCAAAGCCAAAGGCCAAAAGCTGTGGCCGCAACAAAAGAGACTTGTTGATTATGCCACCTGGCCAAGTGCCACGCCCACAAACGCAAATTGAAAATGGCAAATCCAAAGAGATATTTACATTTGCCAACAGAAATTGAAATTAACGTGCGGCAATTGGGGAATACGCCAAAGTATATAAATAAATAATTAAATCAAAAGAAAGGACAGCAAACGCAACAACCGCTAAAAAAACAAAACAACAACAACAAAATACGGCTAAAAGCAGCCAGAAAATAATGATGTGCGCTTGGCCCACTTTTTCAAGCAATTGCGATTAGTGTCGACCTGAGACTGAGCAACAATGGGGGCAGAGGCCGAGATAAAGCTGGCAACAGCTTCTGCAGCTTATGGCCATATAAAATATGCATGCCTCAGGTACTGCCGCATACCCAAAGCATCAGCATGATGAAGCAGATGAGGCAGATACTTTTGGGTTGGAGCGCAACGGATGGGTTGCTCTGTCAGCACGTGCTGCCCGTCTAGTAAACAAAAATGTTAAAAAAGAATCAACAGCAACAATAGCAGCAACAACAACAGCAACAAAATGTAAACAAGTTGGCAACGCACATTGCCCCAGCTCGAGGCACAACTCTGGCGCGCCAGCTGCTCGGCGGCTGATGGCTCATTTGGCCAGAAGGCACTCGAGTGTGCCCAACCATTCAACCGTCCCATTCAGACAGACGAGCGCTCTCTGTGCGCCACTCGAATGGCACTCAAACTGTGCCGCCGCCACTCAATTTGAGTTCCGATCGAATCTGTGCCACCAGCCAATCGCATTTACTCTGTATGCGTGCCTGTGTGTATGTGGGTGTGTGTCTGTGTGTGTGTGTGTGGCTGTCTGCCACATAATTAATATGACGTCAGTTGCAACAACTAATCAGCGGCGTCAACGCCGCACGCAGCTAAAATCAACAAAAACAATAGGTGAGCGCCAGTTGAGAGTGACAGTGAGAGAGAGAGAGAAAGAGAGAGAGCGAGAGAGATGCCCTGTAATAGTACACAAATGGGTAGTTTATTACAAGGAATCTAATGTGAAGGTAGGGAAATAGAAGTGGGGGAATGATGGGATGTGTGAAGAACAGGAAAAAAGGGTAGACGATTAAATAGGAATGATGGAATCTGTGAATATGATGTGAAGAGTAGGAAAAATAAGTGAAGAATTAAATAGGGAACTGATGGGATCCGTGAATATGATGTGAAGAGCAGCTAAAGTACATATGTAGAGGAATAAATAGAAATAAAAATAAATAGACATAAAATTAATTCAACGAAATTAATGAAAATTCAATAAAACATAAAAAAATCGTTACATTAAAAAAATAATAAATAAATAAATAAAATAAAAATTTTAGTTAAGAAAAAAAATTAAATACGTTTTGAAATATATTTAAGCTTATTATGAAAAATATTAAAAATATGGTAAATACTTTTAATTTATTTTATATTTATTTTGTAATTAATGATAATTAATACGCATTTTAATAGAGATATGTATTAGTATATGTGTAAGAATGCGTACATAAGTATGGTCTTAGAATAGGCATACATACAAGCAAAGCTGATATATGTACATATGTATATAGCAAAAATCTATAAAAATAAATAATCAATTTATTATAGTATTAGATTTACAGCAACTGAAATTATCCTTTGTCAAATGAAGGCTTGCAGAGTAAGCAGAGAGGACAACAACAACAACKAAATAAAACAAAAACATTCTAACATAGTGTTGAGCATTGCCTGAAGTAATTGTATAAATAAATATATGTATTTGTATAAAGCTGCTCACAAAACCACACACTCAATCTTTCTCTATCTCACACTCTCTCTCTCTCTCGCCATCTCTTTCATGCATTGTCGGCACAATCTGGTATCGAGGTGTCAAACTCATATATTTACTTGTCGCCCCTTGATATTGTTGTGGCTGTTGTTGTTGTTGTTGGCTTTGCGGCTGTTGTTTAATTTGACGCGTTTATTTGATTAGGCCCGGCTAAGCACAGTACGTGACTGGGTTAATTTGCCAGACACACTCACACACACACGCACACTCAGTCACTCTACGTATGTGTAGTTCAGTGAGAAAAGTCAAATAAATCGCCAGCATGTCCTAAGTACATTTGCTTGTACACAAAAATGTGCATACTTCGCATAACAATGAAAGCAGCAGGAAAACTCTAACGATATGGCACACTGGGGCACCGCTAGTGGCAGTGGCAGCGGCAGTGGCAGTGCCAATGGAGGGAGGGGCGTGGCACTTGTATAAACTATTTACCAACTACTTATTGTTTGCCCATCAACAATGCCGGCTATCCAAACCGAAAAACCGAATCTGAACCTTTGCCCTAGAGCCTAAAGCACATTAGCTAAGGGATGCAATAAATCTATTGACTTGAGTTGAGATATATTCAAGTAAAAAAAAAAACTAGAATTAGTAGAAATACTAATATGCACACTAATATGTACAGACTATTGATTAGCAATCATTAATTCATTGATTTCTAATAACGAAAGACACGAGGTCAATTGTCTAAAATATCTTTAAAAA